GCATGATCCACTGGCGGGCTTGGCACATTCCCACTGCATCAGTGTTACTGTTTCCATGAAAACCCCAAAGTGCCTAATCACTTATTCTGATGAGAAATGCGGTTGCCCCTTTGAAGCTAAAGTATAAAGCGTGCCTCTCATCTGGGGCTCTTTCTTCCCAGTCCTTGGGACAGGCTAGTGGGAAACCTTCTCGTGCTCCAAACCCCAAACGAATCCGGATTCCCCAGTGTTCTTTAATTGGTGGAAGCTGATTTGTTTTGTTCAAAGCGCGTCAGAGCCCGCAGTGTGAGCACTGTGCCCCAAGATTTAGCCCGTTTCATCGTCCTTCATTAGGATGCAGGGGAAAGCCCGGGCATCGATAACTGGGCCAGGGAAACAAAGGCAACATGGAAACTGGAGCGAGGCGATGAATCCCTTGCTCTCCACTTGTACAAAACAAGATTCCCACCATTTACTCAAGAACTTATTTTGTCCTTGTGCCCCATACAAAGAAACAGGAAACTTCAGAGGAGGAAAAAAAAGTTGGGGGGGGGGAACTCGTGGTTTCTTACACGGTGGCCCAGGGAGGTTGGGGCCACTGAGGGTGCTGGCAGGAGGCAAGCTTGACCCCAGAGCTCCCCATGTTTTGCTCTCAGAGGAGGTCACCTGGGACCAGGGGAAAGTTGCTCCTCCTTAGGAAACAGCGGGAGGAGAGATCTGGGGTAGCAGCAATACAGACTGCATGGGGACCTTCAGCCTCTTGACGTGGGGAAAGAGCCCAGCCTGTATGGGTCGCTTCTTCCTCTTCCTTTGCTACCCCAGGAAGTCCGGGAGCCAGACCTTTCCTCAGAAAATGGAAAATAAATCCATTTTCAATTTGACAAGAAGAGACCCTCGTCTCTCAAATGTGAGTTCTGATACTTATTTTGAGGACTGGTGATTATAACGGCTCATCTTGTAAACTGGTGAAACATTTTGGGGACCATTTTGGCAATACCTCTCCAAAGTTTAAATCTAGGATGCTTTGAACTAACAGTTCAACATCTAGGAATTTCTCTTACGAAAGTACCTCTAACATATGAATCAAGAAATCGGTGTTAGGGGCGCCTGGGTGGCTCAGTTCGTTGAGCGACTGCCTTCGGCTCAGGTCATGATCCTGGAGTCCCGGGATCGAGTCCCGCATCGGGCTCCCTGCTCGGCGGGGAGTCTGCTTCTCCCTCTGACCCTCCTCCCTCTCATGCTCTCTGTCTCTCATTCTCTCTCTCGCAAATAAAAAAAAAAAAAAGAAATCGGTGTTAGGATATTCATCTCTGCCCTCTTTATAATAATAAATTAAGTATGGTATCAAGTCCATCTTAAGGGATTAGATGAACATATATGATGGTATATACATCCCTACAAGGGAATACTAAGAAAATCACTTGTTTTTAATGAGGTAAACCAACATGAGCTGGCCTGGGGAAAACGTCCATGATGCAGGCACTGAAAACCACAAGTTAAAAAATTGCATGTATACTTTAATCCACTTCTGTTTGAAACAGGGTTTCTCAACTTGGGCATGGCTGACAGTTGGGCCAGATCACTCTCGGTCTGAGTCTGCCTGGTGCCCTGCACAATGTTGAGCAGCATCTCGGGCCTCCACCCACTAGATGCCACTGACAGCCTCCCCCCTGCAATTAGGACAATTAACAATGTTTCCAGATGTTTCCAAAGGCTCCTGAGGGCGGGAGTGGGGGCCAAAATCACCCTCAACTGAGAATCACTGGTTTAAAATAGTGATTTATCGGGGTGCCTGGGTGGCTTAGTCGTTAAGCATCTGCCTTCAGCTCAGGTCATGATCCCGGAGTCCTGGGATTGAGCCCCACATAGGGCTCCCTGCTCAGCGGGAAGCCTGCTTCTCCCTCTCCCACTCCCCCTGCTTGTTTTCCCTCTCTCGCTGTCTCTCTGTCAAATAAATAAATATTTAAAAAAATAAAAAAATACTGATTTATCAACAACTTAGGTTTGCACATCATAGGAAAAAAGTCCAGAAGGACCACAGTAACAGTGATTCCACTGGGAACCAGCATGGGTCAGGGAAAATAATATTCTCTTTTTATTTGATACACTGCTGGACAATTTGATTATTTTTACAAGTATATCTTTCTTCTGTAAGTAAGCAGAAAATCTATTTCTATTCCAGTCCCACTCACATTCTTAAATATATACCAAGAAAAGAATGAGAATAGCTTAAATCAAGAGACAGGGAATCGGGATTCTCTTTGGAAAAGAGTGACAGGCAGATTTTACCTGGGAAGGAAAGTCCTTTGAGAGGACTAGGCAATGGGACAATAGGACACGATGACATGACCAGAGCTTATCAATTGTTCATCTGTCGAGAACTGTGTCTGGGAAACTGAATAATATAGGAACTGTGGAATTCTAGCCTCGAATTTTGAAGTTGATGGAGACCAGTGCCTTGTGCTCTCTGCTTCAAATCCTTTATCTGCTAAAAGAAACATCCATCCATTCTCACAAAGACTTAGGGAGGACAGACCACTAAAGCAGTATCTATGAAGTGGTTTCCCCTCATCAGATTTGGTGCAACTTAAATAAAAGATGGAATTCTCATTCATATTTGATTTGGTGCTTTTAAAGCGATTTTGTAAAACAAACGCCTAGTTCAATTTGGGCATTTCAAGGTTTACAGAATCCCAGAATACTTGAGCTTCTTGTTCATTTTGAAGCAATTTCCTCCAGGGATATTTTTCCAGTTCAGTGGTATACTCATGAGGAAAACAATAAAGTAAATCCCCCCCCCCTTTTGTTTTTCTAGCTAATAGGCTACTCTAGAAAACCACTAAGGTTTGTTTGGAAATTACAAGGTAAACTGTCACAGCCAATTTTTGTAATGCTTCCCTCATTGAACTCCTGCTGAATTTCCTAGAAGAAAAAACAAATCTAAATCTTACAAAAAGTAATAAAACATTTGGTCCCCCACACGAATGCCAACAAATGATGTATCAGATATCCACCACCAATACTTTCACCTAGTTACAACAACAAGATACTGAGGAAATTGGGGGTTTTGAATGACGTTTTAAAAAGTAGCTAGAGAGAATTTTCTTGTCCGTCTATGCTGGTGTTCTGAGACCAGAAGTGATTTGAGACAGTTCGTGACTCAAGTTATGAATCAATTCATAATGACACATTTTACATTCTTTTTCATTATATATATTTGTTTTGTTTTGCTTTGTTTTCTAGATAGAATGACAATGCTGAAAAGTCCATGTTTGGCTTGTAAGCAACTCATTAATATTCTAGTCACAACTTTTGATCAATTTCTCTCCCCCCCGAGCCCCCATCCCTACCCCTGCCCTGATTTGACCCAGCTTCTTAAAGCATTTTGGCTTATTTGGTGATATTTTACTTCTCTCCAATTTCACCTTGTTTTTCAAAGCTCTAGTTATTGTGCAATTAGTTAGTTCATCAAGAAATTAAGCTCCCCCCCCCTCTTTTTTCTCCCTCTGAATTTAAAAGGTAAAGCTCAGGATTTGCCATTGTTAAGATTCCAGATTCACTCTATACACACACTTTTAAAACAAAGAAAAAGCAGCATTTCTCTTCTCTGCCTTGCACACAATACAGCAGGTTCAAACGAGACGGGAACCATGAAGCAGAACATCTTTTTCTAAGCATCCAGCATAACCACGCTTCAGTCACCTGTGCCAACCCAAAGCAAGGGATGCTTTCAGCAGAATGCTGTGTCACACTCGAGGACACACTGTTGACACCATGGCTTCTGTCTGCCTTGTTTACGAGGAAAACTCATGAAATTGATTGAAGAATGGACGAACTTTATAGAATGCTATCAGACCAGGGCTCGTTATAGGATGACCCCAAAGTACCTACGCCTGATAGTTACAAGGGGTTGTAGCAGATGCTGCTGGTGATCTGCCCTCAGATGCCTTTTCACCGCTTCTGTGGGCCCCTTGCCTTCCCCATCCCCCAGTCTACATTGTTTTGCTTCTATTGGCCTGCACCTGAGATCTCTTTGACTATTCAAGGGCTACTGGAACCACTCGGCCCACATGCATAGAAAATCAGCCATGTTCTCCTACTTGCCCAGGGCAGCCCCTGGCCAATGGCTGATTGCAGGGGGGCCATGAAAGCCCAGCTGCCTTGCTATAAAGTCAGGACCCACCCAGAGATGTAATTCACATGCCAGATTCCATTGAGGCTGGATTTTGCCTGAAATCACACCTTTGCTTGGCTTCCCTGCCTTCCCAGCCCAGCTTCCCCACTCCCTTGCCAGCTTCTCTGGGACCATGTTCTAATACATCACCTGCACCCACACTCGCCACTCAGGATCTGCTGGGCAGAAACCCTACCTAGGCTCTTATCTGTCCTCCTTTGCCTTTCCCCCAAATTCTGAATCTTCTCATTCTTCTGTACATCTCATTCCGTGCTGATAGCTGTAGTTCATGACACCTGTTTCCGGTCTCAAATTTCTGTTAGGACACATGTCACACACAAGCCTTGGTTACCAGAGACCCCTGAGAAATGACTTCTGGTCACGGTGTTGAGTTCCCCTGTGCCAAAGGCTTCAGACCATACAACAACATCCTGGAGTCTATGAATGCTACCCTGGAGCAGAACTCCAAAATTCAGATCTTACCACGGACAGGGAGTTCAGACTGAGAGCCACGGGAGGCTCTATGATGGCAGCTTTCTACTGTTGGCCCTTCTTCCGTGTTTTTGAGCTCTGGATATTATTTGAGGCCATCGAAGGCTTATCTTTTTGAGGGGTACTTGCAGCAGGTGAGGTCTGGAAATGTCAACGGGAAGACCTGGGTGGTTCCAGATATCCTGACTCAGAGGCTGCCCAGCCCCGAGAACCACTCGACGGGATTGTCCATATTGCGTGCCACCCTGGACAGACCATCCTAAGCATCAAGGAACAACAGACTTCACAAGTTCCCAGAGCCCTCTCCACGCCAGCCCCACAGACACCCTAACTCCCACTCCAGAGGCATACTCACAGTTTTCACAGCGCTGCCCAGTGTAGCCTGCCAGGCAGGCGCATTTGTAAGATCCGGTTTTGTCAAGGAGGCAAGTGCCATCATGGAAACAGGGAGAAGAGGAACACGCTGTAAGAGAAAAGGCAATTTCCCTCAGTGTCACTGCATGGTGAGGCAATCTCTTCAAGCCTGGAGCCTTGATCAGAGTCTTGCTTGCCTCTTAAAGTCTTCTTCTTGCAATACTTTTACTTTTTTTATTGGATTCCTGCAACCATTGTTTGAGAATGCCTAAAACAGGTACGTATCTGTTGTTATGTGATATTTTCAAAGGCTCCATAAGTATGCTCCTATGGTCTGAAGAGCCTAAAGCCAACACAAAGAGGTATAACACATGATTAGGGCAGAAGCATGCCTTTACCCCTCCTATAGGGACTCCAAGGGAGGGAGGTAGCCTCCGGGAACTTTTGATCATCTTTTTTCAAGAAAGCATCCTGGGTATGGAGGGAAATGAACTGGAAGATCATCATGACACCATTGAAGATGTACTTGAGAATTTCCCAACATGCATTCCGTAAACATTAGTCCCTCAAGATGTTGATGTGTTCAACTAAGAAAGAGTTGTGGGCTTAAATGTGGTGGGGAAGTGCTACTCGTATTAAATGATAATTAACCAGATTTCTTTACTGCAAAACTTCTCAGAATGTTCCACGTCATAATTTGCACTGCATATTTCTCAGAACGCACATTAATGCCTGGCCTTTCCCAAGCTCATCTGACCTCAGAGCCTGCGTCTTTACAGAAGACTATTTTTCTACAGAGAACAACTTTGGGAAACAGTGGTCTGCGTGCTAACCACTAACCCCACATTCATTTACCCTGATATGGAAATACACCGCCTGGCCCAGGTCCACAAGCCCGTACTGAGTGCTCGTCCTGCGTGAGGCACCGGAGTCGGACATTCTGCTTACCAAGTCAGAGCTTTCGGACAAAAAATATACAAGGACTATCGCCTGAAGCATAATAGATTTGGTGTTAGGAAAGAGCAGAAAGTGTCCTAAGACGCTCCAGCGGGGGCAAAGTCACAACCCACTGGACGAAGAGAAAAGGTTTAGCAGAGGACAATGAATGGGATACAAACCCTGAGGACTGGGATTGGATGGGCAGATGTGGAGGAGCTGACCTTAGCCTGAGGAAAAAACCTGAGTACAAGCACACAAACCGGGGAACTGGAAGGCTGCTATCTACTTGACAACACAGACCAGCATTTCCCAGAGTTCTCTGGTGGGGGTCAAGGAGCCCCCTTCCGAGGAGGAAGAGGCCCTCCTGGTCCTTCCCCCAGTCCCAGGGTCACGGGCTGGTGAGCCACTGCTGCTTCTCCCGGGCTTCCCTGACAGCCAGCCCTGCTGACTTCCAGAAGACCCCCACACCTGTCTCAAGTGTGACCCTACCCAGGCTTGGCTGGCCCTATAGTCCCAAGGGCAAGGACCAGCCACAAGCTGACCACACCACAGCACAGCAACCCAGCCTCCAGAACCCCCAGACCCCCACATCCTCGGAAGGGAGCGGGCACACAGATGAGCAGTAACTGCGGAGAGCTCCCGTGAGACAGTCTAAGGGAAGGGCAGGTGGGGGGGGGGGAGTGTGTGTGCCAATCTTGCCGAAAGGACAAGGCTGCAGAAGGATGACCCCCCACCCCCACCGCCACCACCACCTTTCCTGAGGGTTTTGTATCATACCTTCCATAGGAAGCCATAGCGATCAAAATTCACTACAACGCTTACTTGAGTATTTTTAAAAAAACAGAACTTGAAGCCTGAGCTTGGTTTGGAAAGCCGGATGCAGTCCAATCTCAGAACAGTGAGAGCTGAGGGTCCTTCCCTAGGATTGCGCATTTTGCTCATTTTGGTCCCATCCTACTTCCCGATATGAACAGGGCAGGAGTTCAAGTCAGGCTTAGAGTTACTCACAAAGTAAGTGGCATTTACCACTGAGTGAAACACTTTTAATGCCTATTTTGCAGATGCCAGAAGGAGGCCCAGGGCACACCTGCGGTTGGGCAGCTACTGAGTGCGTCCTATGTACCAGACACGGTGCTAAGTTCATCTGTTTCATCTCCCAGAACCTCCTTAGTGGAGCAGGATCTACGCTTTTTTCCTTATTCACTGATTAGGAAACTGACGCCCAGAGAAGTAGGAGAATTTACCCCAGGTCACACGGCTTCGTCTGCCCGAGCTCCAAAGCTAATGCTCTTAACCATCAGAGGCCCCCTGGAGGTGAGCCGTAGAACCAACGGCTTTGTGACCTTGGGCAAAGGGCTCGGCCTCCCTCTGCTCCGGCATCTGTACAAGGGCATCCATCATAGCTACGCTCCTGGTGAACATTTCTGAAGTATACCTTGCCATCTCTTTCTTCCTTCTCAGTGTGCAGGTTGCTTCCAAGAACCCAGCTCAGTGGGTTTTAATCAGGCTGAGCAGGGAGAAGGGGAGGAGCACAGAACGGAGAGGTCTGCCAGGAGTGCAGCCATAAAATACTACATTTGTCTCCGTGGCCGTTACCTGTGATCTCCTCAAAGATGGCACGGAAGCCGTCGAAATTCTTGGAGCTATCTGAATGGAAGAGGATATGGAGGGAAGAGCCCGTGCTCCGGATGGGAGCTGGCCGCTCATTGCCGCAGAAGCGCTTGATGATCTGGTCGCTGCTGCTGTCCCCATCACGGATCTCCACATAGTCATACTGGCACATGTAGTCGAACTCCAGGCTCAGCATGACGAACCTATGGGTAGAGAGGGGGACAGCAGGCAACAGGTGGGCCCCGGACCCTCGTGCGATCCCTGAGCGAGTTCAAGGCCAGATGATGAACAGGTCTCGGAAGAGCGGTGCCACTGGTCTGATCTGACAGAAAAAGGGTCCTGGACAATGTGAGGTCAGAAGAATTTCTTTTAGCCGAGGGGTACGTGTGTACTTGCATGCCCAGGCGGAGGGAGTCCCTATTCGTTCAGAGCATCTCTGCACATGCTGGCCTCTCTTCCAGGGGCACTTTCCACCCAAGCGGCATGGCTGGCTCCTTCCTATCCTCGGGCCTCACCTGAAATATTCTCTCCTCAAAGAGGTTTCCTTGACAACTCTTTCTAAAGGAGACCCCCTGTTCTCTTCATAATGGGTATATAAATTTAATTTATCTTCTTTATCTTCTTGATTTTGTGAGAGAGAGAGAGAGAGAGTGTGTGTGTGTGTGGTGTGTGTGTATGTGTCTGCAGGCACATGTGTACATGCCTATCTCCTTCACTAGGTAAATTTCTTGAGTGTAGGAGAGAACATCTGTCTTCTTCCACCATTGTTTGCATAGGGCCTAACACAGTGCCTGGCATACAGAGATGCCAAGCAAATACTGGTGAATAGATGGCTGAATGGATACAACAGTAAAATTTTACAACTGGAGGATGGAAAAAGGACATATGTCTTACAAAACTCAATAAAAGAACAAAATCTCTGCACATTCCTCTGTTTGATGGAAGGATGAGAAGGCAATGATCTTCTGGGTAGCACTAATTCTTGCCCTACAGAGTAGAAAAGGTAGCACTGTATCAGAATTTCAGAACTAGGGGAGATCTGATAAATCTGTGATTGCCTAGAAGGGTCTTGGGTTTGGAAATACGTGAATACATCAGATCCAAAAAGCAGAAGATGACCCCCAGCATCCAATTCCAAGGGACAGGATAGGAGGCAGCCACATCCAGACAAAGAGAGGAAAAGCCACTTTTCAGATAATTTCAAAGGGAATGCCTGGGTGTCAAGGTCACAGAATGTACATCTGTATCTTCTCCCTCATGTTTTGGAGAAGAATTAGGGAATAGGCAGAAGAGCTCACAACTGCCACCTGAAATGCTGGGACAAGGGCCTATTTCTACCACTTTGGGTAAAAAGTTCAAGTGCCAGGATTAAACACTAGACCATAGTGACAATCAATATATTTTGAATACACTTAAGGGTCTTCCTAAAAAGAAACCTTTTAACTAGCATTTTACAAAACATTTATCACAAAACCTTTTGTAAGGGAGTATAAGTCGCATTAATCATGCTTCGTGAAATGTGGTCTAACATCTAAGGACCTGACTTCTCATCCAGATGCCACTGTTAGCTCACTCTGGGCTCTGGCAGATCCATCCTTTCTCTGGATGTTAGTATCTCTGTCTGAAAAGGGAGGAGCGGGGACAAGGCCACCACCCAACAGAGACCACAGTTTTCTTCTGAAACCAAAATATGAGATATTGCAAGTTGTATTTATATCCATACCTTCGTTTGTACATGTACTTAACATAGATCCACGGCAGGCCTGCTCTGTGGTGGGCGCTGTTCTAGGTGCTGAAAGCACAGCAGTGACCCAACCCGATCCACCCAAGTAGTGCCAGCCCTAACAGGAAGGAGTTCTGATCTGGGGGATGAACAATAAGCAAGGAAACCAGAAGACAAGGTAATTTCATAGAGTATTAAGTGCTGTGAAGAAAATAAACCAGATAAGAGCATAAAAAATGACTGGGGAGGATAAGGTTTTTATACAACGTGGTCAAGGAAGACCTCTCTGTGGACTTGATATCTGGGCAGACACTTACATGATAAAATAGAGCCAGCCATGTGAAGGTCATGAGGAAGAGAGGTCCAGGCAGGGGGCTCTGTAAGTGCAAAGGCCCTGAAGCAGGAATGAGTTTGGCGTATTTGAAGACCTGAAAGAAGATCAGGGATGCTGCAAAATGGAGTGTAAAGGGGAGAGTGGTATGAACTGAGGTCAGCCAGAAAAGCAGGAGCCAGATCCTGCATGGTGAGGGGGTCTAGATTTTATTCCAAGCCTGATAGGAATGAGCAGAAGGTTTCAACAACAGAATTATGACTGGATTTAGGATTTTAAAGGATCACTCTTGTCACAGAGGAGAGAAGACAGCAGAACTGGCAAGAGTGGAAACATGGAATCCAGTTAGGAGGCCATGAGAGAATCAAGGTGAGAGATGATGGTGGTAAAAGGAGAGTAGTGGCATCAGAGTCAGAAGTGGATGCACTTGAGATTATTTTACACGTAAGAAGATAGATTTTGTGGGAGATGGAAAGATAGAAGGGGGGGCACCAGGAATGACCACTCACGTTTTGGTCTGAACATTGTACATGTGCATTAGTGTTTCTGTTGTTGTTATTATTATTATAACCGGCCAGCAGGTCCTGGTTTGACTGGAGGAAAAGAAATCTATATATTTCCAAGCCTCCCTAGGGGCCTCTCCTAGGCATGTGTTGTGCTTGTCCAATCACTCCACCATTTTGGATTTTTGTTTTGGGAGAGATTTCCTTTGCATCCTGGATCTTGGAAAAGCTCCTCAGAAGCCCCTAAGGGGACCACTGGTCTGGTCCCTAAGGTGCTGAAATAATATGTGGCATTTAACACCTGCCCTTATCATCCCTGGCAGACACCACCTGAAGCCCCTTAAGCAGAATGGTGTGGCCCATCAGGTGTTCCTTATGTTAACCTCCTTCTAGAAAAGTCCAATTAATGAGCCTCACTCCCAACCCCAGATCCTCAAGGAATGAGGAAATCAGCCACTGAGGGCCAGCTTTTGTGAGGAGAAGTGAGAAGGGGACCTGTTTTACTGGATCCTTCCAAGGCAGAGTGCTATATGTTGCCCCTCCTAGAGGACAGAGAGCCATCTGAGGAGCCAACTGGAATGTGGAAACCTCCATTAATCCATCCAGAAAATACTTATTGAAAACCTGTGCCCTCGAAGATTAGAGATTTCCATCACTGCCAACCTGCTTATTGGGCAGAAAGGAAAGAACTAAGTGGACAATGTCCCTAGAAATCCCAGAGGTGAGTGGGCCACACCGCTTCCCTAGAGAGGAAAAGGAGAGGTATTTGCCAGGAGAGAGGAGATATACTGGAGGCAAGGAGAAGTTCTTTCAACATTTATTCATGCAACAAATATCTATCAAGCTCCTATGGTGTGTACTGCACCATCAAACATCTCAGCATGATGACATTTCGGCTGTTCCTGGCACGAAGATGCAGCAGTGAACAGTTCTCACAGAACAGGACTCTCTTGTGTTGTTTATCGAGAGTTACAATAAAACTGGGTCTGTTCTTTGTACTATGACATAAATTAAATATTTGTGAGGACCTCAAAGCTCCATAAGAAGAAATGGCTTATCTTCCACACCAGGGAGAAAATTGGTTTATTTGTTATGGGGTGGTAGTTGTTTTCTGAGAACATTAGTGAAAGGAGCTGATGAGCACACACCCCAATCTGCAGTATAAATTCCTTGAAGATTGGATCTGTGCCTTTTATTTCTTCCCTTTCCTCCTGTAGAACCCAGTCACTGGGTGAATAGGAAGACTTGGTAAAGATTTGTGGGTGGATAGATTGCTATCAGTATTTTGCTTTGTTGGTATTAACCTTGAGTCAAAATTACCTAAGCCCACCCTCCCCTCCATTGTAGGGCAGTGAATGACAAATATATAATTGGCTATAGTTTTCCCATGGAATCGCCAAGAGGTCAAAAAAAGGGGGGGCTCAGTGTACATTTCCTGCTTTTTTTTTTTTTAAAGATATATCCATTTATTTGAGAGAGAGAGAGAGAGCACAAATCCGTGAGTGCACGAGCACATGCAGGGGAGGGGCACAGAGAGAGGGAGAGAGAGAAACTCAAGGAGACTCTGTGCCAAGCAGGGAGCCCAACGGCAGGGCTCTATCTCATGACCCTGAGATCGGACCTGAGCCAAAACCAAAAGTTAGACACTTTCACCAACCGTACCACCCAGGCACTCCACATTACCTGCTTTTAAGAATAAACTGCTGATGGTTAGCCTGTGGTCACTAGGATCCAGGGCCCTCAGTCCTCTTACATATAACCCCAAACTCTCTAATTCTGACCCAAGCCCCTTACCTTAGCTGGATGATGAACCCAGGCTTGGCATGAATGGTCCATTCACAATGAGCATTTAGAGGGTAGCTCTCCAACAAAATCTGACCCTTGGAGGCTCGCAGAACCTGGCCACATCCTGGGAAGAGAAGATTGGGGCATGGAAATGGGAGTCAAAAGGAAAGAGACGATAGAAGGTCTCAAAGAGCCTTTGAACTCAACCCACACCCCTGAGAACAGAGTGGAGAAGGAAATTACTTTCTCAAGCACCTGACAATATGCTAGGCAATTTGCATAGGTTAATTCACTTAATCCTCCCAACAGCTTGAAAAAAAAGGGAAGTAATATCATTCCAGTTTTCCAGCTGGGAAAATGCATAACAAGAGAGTTAAAGAAATAGCTTGTCTAGCCACTAAGTGACAACGGAGCAGAGATTCAAACCTGTGTCTGAATTGAAAGTCCAAGCCACTCTATCATCCTGCCTCTCCAAGACTGCCATATGCCAACCTGCTGACTCCGCCCTAAAAGGCTTTGGAAGTAGACACTGCGGTCTTTGTCTGAAGCCTCAAACTGCATAAGACCCCTGGTCTGTGTGCCCTAAAGGTCCTCTACCCCACAAATATGACCCCAAAGCAACTCTTTCCTGACCCCTTTCCATCCAGTTAGAAAATTTGTGTCAATTTGTTCTATATGTAATTATGTAATAAATGTGTCCCTGATGCATGACACCAAAAAGGGAAATGATCTCCAACCATTTGGACTGGATTACTGGTTTTCTGGGGTTTTTTTTCCCTAGCTCCCAACCCCTTTTTTCCAAACAAATTCTTTTGAATGCCACCAATCAAAAAAACATGCACCCAAGAAGTTCTCCTGCTTGAGGTGTGGGGGTCCAAAGCCCTCTTCCCTTGCTATCACCTTGGTTTCCCCGAGTTACCTCCAAAGAATTGTCAAGAAAACCACTGGACTGAGTCATCATTAACTTACATCGTATTTCCTAGTGTTAAGATAAGCACAGGTGTGTAAGATGCATCCTAGTTTTACAAAAGGGTTTGGGGGGAAATGTCTCAAATTGGTTTTAAAGAAAAAAAATTATCTGGGTCATATAAATAAATGATATCTCCTACCAGAACTGCCAAACTATAATCCTTTGGCTGAATGTGGCTCACTGCCTGTTTTTGTGCATAAAGTTTTATTGGAACAGAGCCATGCCCATTCTTAATGCCTTTTCTATGGTTGCTTTCCAGCTACAGAGGCAGAGTTGAACGGTTCTGACAGGAGACAGCAGGGCCCACGAAAATATTTACTATCTGCTCCTCCACAGAAAAAGTTTACAGAAATCCAGTTTGACCTCTGTACAGAGGTCTGTACAGAAATCCAGTTTGACCTCATAAAGTTTAGATATGTAGTTATAGTCAGTAACCCCCCAAAAGTATAAATTCTCATTGTTTAAAAGAAAAGTATTAACATCAGTTGCTACTGCCCCATAGCCGGATGATGGTGGTGATCTTTCTACAACGTTAGGAAAAGAGCTCAAACTCCGCTTTTGACAAGCTGTGAGGTCTGAGGCTTGTTACTTTTGTGGAAACCACTGGTGGGTTGGTTGCGCAAGTCCTCTCTTCATTTGGATTTTTATTGCTGCTGTCCTGGTCCGCCAATGGGAAGCACCATCCACCACTTTCCACCGGGGTTTCTTGTCTTGCTTGGCCTCGCTCTGCCATCCCTCTCTGCAATCCATTTCCCCAGTATTTGATTCTCCACACAGCAGCCAAAGCCACCTCTTAAATAAATAAATCAGATCACATTACTCTCTCGATTCAACCCTCCAAAGGCTTCCCACTATGCAAACACCTTCCTATAACGTCCATGGCTCTGCCTCACTGAGGGCCCAGGCCCACCCCCACTCATCTGCCTCCTCACACAGCCCCAGCCACACCGGCCTCCTTTCTGTTCCCAACTCAGGGCCTTACCCTTGCTGTTCCCTTAGCCTGGAAGGTTTGACTTCTTCCACATCTCCTTTCTTTGGGAATTAAGTTCAACTGCCCTTTCTTCAAAGAGGCCTCCCTTGACCACCCAGCTACAGTGGACCTTTGTGTCTCTGTAGTAACTGTCCTCACTCTATTTTTTCTTTTCTCCATAACACATATCACTAATTGAAATTATCTAGCTTATTTGCTTACTCTCTTTAGAGGAGCTGGGACCTTTTTTAGCTTGTACACCTAGAATGGAACCTGGCATGTAGCAGGTGCTCAGTAAATAGCTGTTGAATGAATGAATGATGATATTATCAGCCAGGCCAGGCACTGGCTGAAAGATTTACAAACGTCCTCTCATTTAATGCTCATGAGAAAACTCGGAGAACAACATTCATCTCCCCATTTCCCAGAGATGGAACACTAAGGATGTAAGAATTTAGTGACTTCCTCAAGGCCAGATGACCAGGAGGTCAAGACTGTAAGTGACTGTTTTAGCTGTAAAGCACTGGTTAAGAATGGAGACTTCAGGGGTGCCTGGGTGGCTCAGTCATTAAGCGTCCTGCCTTTGGCTCAGGTCATGATCCCAGGGTCCTGGGATCGAGCCCCACATCAGCTCCCTGTTCAGCAGAAGCCTGCTTCTCCCTCTCCCACTCCCCCTGCTTGTGTTCCCTCTCACACTGTGTCTCTCTCTGTCAAATAAATAAATAAAATCTTAAAAAAAAAAAAAAAAGGAATGGAGACTTCAGAGCCCCACTGCCCTTGGTTTGAGACTCAGCTTTATCTTCACCGGCTGTGTGCTTTGGGCAAGTTACTTCCTCTCTCGGAACCACAGGAAACCTGAGTCAAATGGGAATAAAGCTGACACCTACTTCATATGATTTTGTGAGGCCTGAATCAGATTATGGGTGGAAAGCCCTTAGCAGAGACATCAGTAAATGTTAACTCTTGCTGGTTGATGGCAGAGCAGGGATTTGAACTTGGATCTGTCCAGTACCAATGCTGGGTCTTGGCTGGTACACTCAACTGTCTTGGGGGCTTACTGATCCAGCCCTGTCCCATACCATTTTGAAGCAGTAGGATTCTTCCACCCCACCGGAGAGATACATTGAATCTCCCCGCCTTCCCCATCCCGGTCCCATTTTCTGAAATGCACGTTCCTTCTTCCTGCACACCTCACACGCCATCGCCCTCATCCACCCATCTGCTGGCTACGGAAGTGATCTTTGGGTGTGAGAGACAAAAAAAGAAATCTTCCTGCACAGCCTCCACCCTTTGGGGACTGGCAGCTTCCCAGCCTGCAAGGTGTTAAATCCCAGCTCCCACTGCAAACCTCCTGCAGGGACCCCAAGTTAGAACCAGCAGCAAATGCTGCCAGTCTGCTTCCCTGCAAATGGAAACTGGTCTCAGACAGTAGGGAAACTGGACCTCTCCTCATGTCCTGGGGGAACTGGTGCCCATCCCTGTCAGGTCCCCTTGGCAGGACCATTCAGGCTTTAGCCAGACCCAGGATCTCATGCGGCCTCTGGAGAGGTTAGGGCCACCATTCCCATCCAGGTGCTGGCCCCTGGCCATGTGAGATGCTAGACCCCTTGTTCCGGGGCTGTCCTTCAGAAGTAGCCAGGATTCCAAATCACATGCCACAGCTCAGTTCTTCACGATGTTTTCCTTCTCACTCTAGGTGGGGAAGGGAAGAATTGGCCCCAAGATGGTGGACAAGTTCCAACCAACCAGACACAAAGAGGCCACTTCTCAGAAATGTGCTTGGGGGAAGGGTATAAGGCACCAGGAAGAGAAGGAAGGAGCCCTACTCCCTTCCCACGTCAAGGGGCTCCTTCAGCTCCCTGTCCACTCTTGTCTCTTCTCGGGGAGCTGGCGGGTCCGGGTGCAGGGCAGACTAAGTGCACCTCTCTGTCTAGGACAGAACAGTGAACACAGATGAGTGTCCCCGCCAAGGAAGTACTGGTGGCCAACCAAGCAGGTGGTCCTGAGTCTGAAAGACCAGAGCAGGCAATGGGCCCAGAAACGTGCTCAGATTCCCTGACAATGTCTTGCTGCGGGGGAAGTGGGGTGTGTGTGTGTATATGTGTGTAGGGGGTTTTGCCAGGGAAGCCAGACTCTCCCCTGGGCTCTCAAATCCTGGACTCATCTCCAGCCCTACCACCCCCCGACCCTTCTCTGTTGCTACAAGCCAACATAGGAGAGGCAGCTAGACAGACCCTGCTTCTGCAGAGCCGAAGGGAAATCTCCATTAATTTCTAAACTGGCAAGAGAGCTGGAAGGTTACCAACAAAAATGAACACCCCAGCATTCAGACAAAAGTCTCGCTATCTCCAGCATGGGGGATGGGGAGGGAAGAGCAAGAGACAGACACAACACACTTTAGAGACGTGGTTGGGTTTTGTTTTTTTTTTAAACTTTCCTCTTAGGGGTGTTGAGGGGGAAGGACTAAAGAAAGCAAGCATTCAGACACAGAGACATTTGCATTTCCTTCCCTCCTTCAGAGATGACTTGGAAGCAAGACTCATAATGATTAAGGGGCAGTTCGTGAAGCCAGGCTGGGTCCACACTGCCATTCAGCCTTTTACTAGCTGTGTGACCCCAGACAAGTTCTCCAGATTCTCTAGACCCAGGCTTCCTCACTGGAAATGAGAATAATACTAGTACCTTCCACCATGTTGCTGTTTTCTTTTTTCTTGTAAGGATTAAATGAGATATTTATGTAAAGCAATTAGCACAGTACCAGATACATAAAATGCTCAATAAATGGTAACTAATGGTGTTATTTCTCTTGAGTCTTGTCTGGATCTGAGACACTATTTTGGTACAAGACTCATGGCAGACATCCCATGTTCTGACCTGCTGCTCCACGGCTCCTAGGACAGTATGTGAAGGCACTTAGAACAATGCCTGGTTCATAATAAGTGCTAAGAGATGGCTTTTATCAGGGGCTCAGGTCTTAACCTGGAACAGTCACATGTCCAGGAATAATTCCATGGCTCACCCTATGATATGGCCTATAATCCCAATTAATTTGATACTTGACAGTGATTGTTTTTTTAATTGTTTGCCTCCCCCATGATGTGAGAGCAGAGACCTTGTCTGTCTTATTCATCCCTTTACAGGCATGGAGCAGGTGTTCAGTTAATTGTTAACTGAATGACTATGC